TCACATCCTTATATTATCAATGTTAAGCAAAGAAATAATACATTTTTCATTAATAATTAAAGATTACTTTCTCGGGTTTCTATTTAGCTTGTTTCTAAAGTTTATTATTTTTCATTTTTAAGAAAACAATTGTGCTTCATATCATTTATTTTAGTCTACATAAATTATAATCACACAAAAAGTTTCATGTTCTTTCTTCTTATATTTTTTAAATATAATTAAATTTATTTTTTAAAAGAACCGTATCAAGTGAAACAACTAAAAAATATGGAATTTAAAAAGTAAGTAGTAGTAGTAGTAGTAATAATAATAATAATAATAATAATAACAACAACAATAATAATAATAATTCTTATTTGGATCTGATCTGGTCTGATCTGATCTGATCTGATTGGATCTGATCTGATCAGATTAGATCTGATCTGATCTGATCTGATTTTAATAAGATTAAGAAAAAAACAGAAAAAATAAGTTGAACGGAACGGGGCCTAACTCAACCCCTAGATCATTCCTAGATCACGTGGTCTTTTCCAAAAGACTAGGCTAACATCATACTCCTACTAATAGTGTATCTTGTTTTGAGCACAACTAGTGTTTCAATATCTTTTGAATATCTATTATTGCTTTCTTTCCTTTTAATGTATAATTGATATATAGTTAAATTTAGATTTTAATTTTAAATTTTTACATAAAAATGTTTTTTCTATCAATATGATGAATAATATTTTACATTATTTTTTTAGAAATTTAGAAAGTAATAATAAAATAAAAAATTCAAATGTTCAAAAGATACAAATTATTTTGGAAAATTTTGTTATGTTTGTTCCAACTACATCAGATCAAAATAGTCGCATTTCGTTGATACAGACTCCGTATTACTCCCTCTATCCCTGATTATTTGTCTATTTTTGATTTTGTTCGGTCAAAATTGGTAGACTTTGGCTTCAAATCAAATAAAAATTATATTAGATATTGATACAAAAATAATTTTATTAGGTTTATTATATGAAATATTTTCAAAATATTATTTTATCTAATTAATATACAATATATATTTTATTTAATTATAGATTAAAGATTGAAAATAATTAATTGAAAAAATTATAATTGAACAAATATTTACTAGCGGAGGCCGGAGACCGGAGGTACTATAAATCACAAGATTCAAAAATTAAAGAAATTAAATAATCAAAAGAAAGACTTTTTTAAAGACTAAAGATTTAAAGTAAAGACAGGGACAATACTAGACCGGCGGGACTAATCGCAAGAAATTCCATTTTTTAGGAAGAAAAATGACCCGACAGATCTGGTCTGAACAAACAGGAGTTTTAATGGACACCGACCGAGTAAAGAAAAGGGCGAGGGCTTCAATTTCATGAGCTAGAGAGAGCATCCGGGATTCCGGGAACAGAAAAGGAAACCGAACTTAAAGAGAAAAAATAAGCACACCGTTCTCCGGTCTGAGCCCTCCTTCCCACCCAAAGCAAGGGATAGAAGCCACCTGAAGGAAGGCCAAGTGAAAGCCCGTGCCTTACTATCAGTATCGAGTCTCTCAGAGGAGAGAGGGAATGGTGTACGTTGAAGAAGAGATGATCGAGCAGCTGCATGCGTTGATTGAAAATAGTGAGTGAACTTTGTCTATGCCCTCGCCTTTTTATTTTAGAGTTTTAGTTTGGTGCTTTCGATCTGCAATCTTTTAGGTCTTGTCATTTCATGCCCCATCATTAATTTATTTGTTTATTTTAATTTATTGCAGTTGATGAACCACTCAAGAGGACTTGGAAGGTTTTCCCTTTGCTTTTTTTTTCTCTCTCCTAGATTTGGGAATTCCAGAACTGATGTCACCTTCTTCATGCCCGTTGTTTTGATTCTTTGATGTGGATTTCGTGATAAAGTTCTTGATTTGATTAATTTCATATTTTACTGGGTACTTTAAATCGAAAATTAGTCAGTGACTAGTCTGTTAAATCTCCTGAAGTGTGCCCAGTGGAAACCAAGAAGAAGAGAGAAAATGTTTTTGGCTGAATTATTCTTCTCTGAATGTTCTTGATACAAGAATTAAAGAAATAGGAGGAAGCCTTAAGTATTCATCTATCCTTTTTAACAAACTAACAGAAAAGGAGAAAAAAGAGCTGAAAAAGTGGACAGATGGACTTCTAACTTCTAACACCCCCCTCAAGTTGGAGGGTTCTTGATCGCCCAACTTTCAAAGTAATTGATGATATAAAGGACCAGGAAGGCTTTTAGTAAAGACATCTGCAAGTTGATGTGAACTTGGAACAAAATCCAAAGTGACCAAACCCTCTTGTAGTTTCTCACGCACGAAATGGCAATCAATCTCGATGTACTTTGTACGCTCGTGATAAACAGGGTTTCTTGCAATGTATATCGCTGCCTTGTCACATTTTTATAGAAATTGGAATGATATGAGGAATATCCAATTCAGTTAACAATCTAGAGAGCCAAGAGAGTTCTGCAGTGACACGGTGAAGGGAAAGGTACTCGGCTTGCGCAGAACTTAAAGAAACTGTATGTTGTTTCTTGGCTTTCCATGAGATAGGGCTGCCACCAAGAAAAACAAAGTAATCACTGACTGAACGGCATGTGATTGGGCAAGCTGCCCTGTCAGAATCACAGTAAGCTTGAAGCTTAAAATCTTGATTGGAATTAAAGAAAACGTCCTTGAGCTGGGCTGTGATTAAGATAACATAGGGTATGAATGGCAGCATCCCAATGTTGTTGTCTTGGATCACTCATGAATTGGCTGAGAAACTGTACCTAAGCCAATTCAGGTCCTGTGTGTGTTAAGAAATCAATTTTCCCACTAGTTTTCTGTAAACAGTAGGATTAGCAATGGGAGGTCCTTCATTTGGCTTGAGCTTGAGGTTTGTCTCCAACAGGCAAAAACCACTGAGGGAGAATCCAAACAGCCAAACTCTTTTAAAAGATGCAGAGAAATTTTTTGTTGAAAGAGAATAACACCATGAGGTTCATAAATAATTTCCAAACCCAAAAAATAGTTCAAGAAACCTAGATCTTTGATCTTGAAAGGTGCATCAAGATAGGCCTCAAGGTGAAGAATTTCTTCCGCATGATCTCCAGTAATAAAAATGTCATCGACGTAAACTGCAAGATGAACCACAGAATTCCCCATACGCTTGGTAAACAGAGAAAAATCATTCTCAGAACATACATAACCTCTTTCTCTTAGTGCTGCAGAAAATTTAGCATACCATTGGTGGATGCTTGTTTCAGACCATAAAGTGGTTTTTGAAGACGTAAGACTTGACTGGGAGAAGATAAGAGCATCCCAGGTGGAGGTTTCATATAAATTTTCTCATCAAGATCCCCGTGAAGGAAGGCAATGTTGACGTCTAGTTGATACATAGACCAATGTTCTTAACTGCAGTAGCAATGAGGGCTCTGATTGCTCTCATTTTAGAAACAGGAGAAAAGGTTTCATGATAATCTATCACTTCCTTTGGAAGCAACCTCGAATAACTAGCCTAGCTTTGCGCCTCTCTAGAGTACCATCAGATCTAAACTTCAGTTTATAGACCCATATGCAACTAAGAGGTTTCCTTCTGTTGGAGTTCCCACATCGGAAAATAAAGAACAATACCATTGACATATATAGAAAGGTGAAACCCTACCTATCAGCTTCAGCTTTTAGGTTAGAATAGTGGATCGCAAATTTATATGCAAGTGGTTTATTTTACTCGACATTCCACTCGTTGTTCTCGGCCGACCAGAGTTTTAACATGGTAGCGGAGCAGGTCTGGTCTGGGTTTGATTGTTCCTGGTTGTTTGGATGTGGTTTTCGCAAAATGAGCTACCCGTCTATAGTTTGAGTTGAGTTGGCTATAAGAGAATGAGAAGCCACTGCCCGTTGGGGCTAGCTAAAAGAGATTGAGTTGTTAGACCCGTTTGTCCAAGTGATAACTGATAACTAGACTAGGCTAGTTACCAGGAGTGTTGGAGTTCCCACATAGGAAAATAAAGAAGAATACCGCTGGCATATATAGAAAGGTGAAGCCCTACCTATCAACTTAAACTTTTGGGTTAGAATAGTGGATCCCGACTTTATATGCAAGTGGTTAATTTTACCCGACATTCCACCCGTTGTTCACGGCCCACCGGAATTTTAACATGGTACCGGAGCAGGTCCGGTCCGGGTTAGATTGTTCCTTGTTGTTTGGATGTAGGTTTAGCAAAATGAGCTACCCGTCTGTAGTTTGGTTTGAGTTGGCTATAAGAGAATGAGAAGCCACCGCCCATTGTGTATGGGCTAGCTAAAAGAGATTGACATGTTAGACCCATTTGTCCAAGTGATAACTAGACCAAGCTAGTTACCACTTGAGGGGGAGTGTTGGAGTTTGTTGGGTTATTCAGTGAAGGCTTTAGAGCTTTGGGCTTTAAGCCCGGTCGGTTAAAGGGAAGAAATATGGGGGGGCGGTTTTAGTTATTAATTAAAGGGCCCATTAGTTGTTTCTTGTTTAGCAAGTTGTTAACCCTAATTTATATCTTATAAATGCCCAATCATGTAACTATAAGCTGGGAGCACCTAATAAAAGATAAACCCTAGTTGCAACCCGTGGAGTAGGTTACTGACCAAACCACGTTAAATCTCGTGTTCTTATTTTCTGCTATTTGTGTGTGTGTGTGTGTGTGTTTGTTCGCTTCCGCTTGACCGCCTCTGATCTCTGATTCCTAACAAGTGGTATCAGAGCCTTGGTTCGGTTAAACACACGTTTACACAGGATCAATCGCAGGAAGAAGGCTGTTCAGGATTGTTTTTGCTGTTGTTTTGCGCCGCGGTTAAGGGGCTGGTTCAGATCTGATCAGGGGCTGGTTCGGATCTGATCAGAGGCTGGTTCGGATCTGGTCAGGGGCTGTTTGGTCGGTTGTAGGTGAACTTGGCGATTAGGGTTTCTGGTTTTGGACCTAGTACTCGTTGGTTCGGGTTCTTTGTTTTAGGGTTTGTTTTCTTTTGAAGGTTGCTTGGTTTCAGGCCGTTATTCCTTGATTTTTTCTCTGGTTTTTTTTTCTCTCGTTTTGCAATGGCCGAGGACAGGAGGGTTCGAATCGAGAAGTTCAACGGTACTGATTTTGCATGGTGGAAAATGCAAATAGAGGCGTTGCTTGGTGAGTGCGATTTGGACATGGTACTCGAAGAGAAACCGGATGGAATGGATAAGGCTGCTGAAGCAATTTGGGACTCAAAGGACAAAAAGGCAAGAGGTAAAATTACACTAGCTTTGACGAGGAGTGTGGCGTTTAATATCATGAAGGAAACAACTGCTCGTGGTATGTTAACAGCTCTGTCAAATATGTATGAGAAACCGTCGGCCAGTAATAGAGTGTTCTTGATGAGGGAACTGTTCATGATGAGAATGAACGAGGGCAGCCCAGTTGCTGATCACATTAATGAGGTCAATTCGATCTTGTCGAGGTTGTCATCAGTAGGCATGAAGTTTGATGATGACACTCAGGCTGTGATTCTGTTATCTTCCTTGCCTGATAGTTGGTCGGGATTTGTGACAACGGTTACTGAAACTGCTGGAATAGGAAACTTGAAGTTTGATTGGATACGGGATAGTGTTTTGGGTGAAGACATTCGTCGGAGGAACGCTAGTGGAGGATCTACTTCTGGGTTACTCAGTGTTAGCAAGGGAAGAGGTAATAACAGAAACAGTGGGAGTCGTGGGAAGAGCTCGTCTTAGGCTGGAAAGAATGTGGTGTGTTGGGTCTGCAAAGAAGTTGGGCATGTCAAGAGTCAATGCCCAAACAAGAAAAACGAAATTAGCGCAGTTGTTGGGATGCATCTGATGATGATAGTGATGCATTGATACTCAGCATGGAAAGCTATGTTGACTCTTTGGTCATGGATTCTGGTGCTTCGTTGCTTCGTTTCACGCCATGCACAGCGGTGAGGCGATGGTGAATCTCAAAAAGGGAGACTTTGGAAAGGTAAAGTTGGGTAATGGGAAAATCCTTAAAGTGACAGGCATGGGAGATATTGATCTAAAAACTTCATTTGGAACTACTTGGAGCTTACAAAATGTCATGGTGATTCTAAGACTGAAGACAATGTTGATCTCAGTCAGACAATTGGATGAACAGGGACTAGACGTCAAGTTTGGTGGTGGAAAATGGAAGGTGATCAAAGGAAATTTGGTTATTGCTCGAGGCTTGAAAAGAGGATCGTTATACATGGTACCGGTGACGTTAGAGGGAGTGACCAGCCCGGTAAAGACAGTTAACAAAGTCGGGCTCACTGAATCGGGCAAAGCTAAGAAGGTTCATTTTGCAAACGTGAATCTTGGAGTTTTGGGGATGACAGTTAAGTGTGTTCGGAGGTCTGAATCAGGTCAGGGGTTTCGTGACAGTGGGAGCATGGGACGTGTTCCGAGTACAGTTCTGAAACGTCGTTGGGTTTTGAGGACCAAGAATCCGAACGTTAAAATCTCTCCTGGGAATAGTTTGCTGGATTTGGAGAGTGGTAATGGTCCTCAGTGTATCTCTGGATTCGGTGGATTGTGCAAGCCGGTTGAGACAGAAGCTGTGGCGGTTACAGTCACGACTGGGTTCGAGCTCGGTGGAGCTTCAACTGTCCTTTCAGGTTATTAATGAAGGGGGTGGTTGCAACTAGGGGATATAACTGGAGTCTTAGCTTGTTCTTGGGAACCGGAGGCTTGGAGGACTTGACAGTGAAGATTACAGTGAAGATTACTGAGTTACTCATGATGGGTTTACTTGGATGGCATTTGTGTCTATGTGAAATC